TAGGCATAGCGCAACATTTCGTGTGTGTCGCCTCGACCAAAGTAATGCATTTTACTGTATCTACAGGGACTAGCTTTTGTCTCTACCCTGTCTCTTCTCAGAGGTTACTTTACTGAAAGAACATACCTCACGAAGTTTCCTGGAAAAACTTCTGAAACACTAGTGGTCAATTTAGGGGTGTTCGAAACAGCAATACTGTCCTTTTCCTATTTTCCAGACCTACCCACCGATCCAGATGATCTTCCAATTAAGTGAGCCGATGATGTCACTATGGGTTCCTAATTCCAATGCGATTTCCATTTCTCACAGCTTCAAACCAACTTATCTACCTTAAACCTATGGTCTTCTTATTCCAAATTATGCAATAACGCTTCTAAATGCAACGATGTCACGTCACTAGCCAAAGAAGAACGGCTACGTTATTTAGAAGGAAACTGCTCTATACTCTATTGTCTATAACCAATCCGTCCCCCCAGTACATCCCTTAGCGTCACTATCTGTCGAGATCTCACGTGGACGTCATATTTCAACCGTACTATTAAAAAGATTCGACGATTATGTTGATCCTTAAAATTTTCGCTGTATTTACTCACCCGATTTGTATATTCCCGTTTCGTTACTAGCCTTAATTGCTCGCCAGTCTTATATTTAAACACTGCAATTTTATGTCGGTCTGTTAAAATTATTTCACGCACAAGCGGTATTCCCTATTTACACTTTATCGCTGACAGACATTTTCCCTCTTGCGAACACTTCTGCAACAATATTCTGTTACATAACACAGAACAATGTGCATGCACTTTCGTAACAAGATGTCATTATAAAATTTCGTGTACTCGGTCTGTTATCCTATATCCTATACATTTAGAGATTTTTGGCACAAAAAGCAACCGTCAGAGACAACTTTTCAAAAGCCCTGGGTAAGGGATGATGAGTTTCACATTTTTACGCCACCTTCCGTCCTTAAATTCACTTTTTCTCTGTGTGCAGTGAGCTGAAAATCACTCCATTAGGATGAATAAAGCAGCTTATGACTTGGAAAGATTTCCCTGGAAGCACTCGACCGGATTCGCAGTTCTGGTCCCAAACAAGGCAATCGTGTCCGGTAATCTTTTGTCGATTCATTCATAAGGCGATGGTATTAAAGTAGTAAAGGTTATCAAATTATCGTCTCAGAGGATCTGTTCGAATCCAATCACCATCACTAGACTTTCACCATCCCTTGTGTTGGACAGCAGCCTCCTGATTTGCCGATTGCCCCATCATGAAAATCGCATCATTGTAAATTCAATAAAAGGAAGAAGAATAAGATTAAAACAGATAAAGAGATTGGTTCCGAGAGACCCGACCAAACAAATGCGCCCACTGTTACAAATGAGGCATGTGTCGAAACGGCCCACATGCAACCCAAATTAACCGAATGAAGAAAGGAGATTGCCTACTTCAAATATCAGCGGATCACAGATTGTTCCTATCAAGCATCAACTCCTCCGACACAAAACGAAACCGCCTTACATGGAAACCGCTACCCCTTCACAGCGATGAACTTTAATTGCCCATATTGTTGACAGTGATCCATTCAACACAGCCACTCTCCATGGTTAACGCCTGTGGATACAAACCATGCTCTCTTTGTCTCTAAAGAGCCAGATTCTCCATACGCCTGATAAATAACCGCTATAAAGCGGCAGGAAGCGGATCAGTTTGAACAACCACTAACCATGCACTTCCGAGGGCCGGTTTTGGTTGCTGTCTTCTGGCTGCTCATTTGCATGAACGGGTAGGAGAAAGGTCCGAAAGTTGAAAGTAGAAGAGAAGAGCAAATGGCGAAATTCAGTGCATTGTTGCAAATAAATTGGGACGGTGTACTAGCGCCACAGTTTACGACACTCGCCGATATCGCTCAGTGTCTCTGACCATCGGTTACGATCATCCCGAGGTCCCCAGCCAGGGAGCCTAACAGGACCTATGTGACCTTCGGTTACGATCATCCCGAGGTCCCCAGCCAGGGAGCCTAACAGGACCTATGTGACCCAGTTACCTGCTTAGGGTTTTCATAGCACGAGCGCCACTGTTTGCGACACCCAGCCATATCAATCAGTGTCTCTAACCATCGGTGACCACTGTTTGCGACACCCAGCCATATCACTCAGTGTAGCTAACCATCGGTGACCATCATCCACAGGACCTATGTGACCCAGTTTCCTGGTTAGGGTTTTCATACCCTCGTGCCAGGTCTTAGGTTGATCACCTTTGGCTTTTTCCAACTCTGTATCTACCGTGGTTAACCTACCTGGTGACATGCGTAACACATGTCCCAGCCAACGTAATCTATGGAGGTCGACTACCTACCTGGTGACATGCGTAACACATGTCCCAGCCAACGTAATCTATGGAGGTCGACCAATTGCTCCAGTGGACAACCGCGGATACCCAAAACTCTATGCCCAACCTCAGCATTGCTCATCCAGCTACCCCACCAGACACGTACAATGCTGCGTAGACAGCGGTGTTCAAACACCGACAGTCTATCTTTG